GGCTACATATAACAGCCTACACTGAGTTATGGCAGCAAAGGCATGACCTAAAGCCAGAATTTAAAAGGGAAACCGAGAGTAAAGATTTGGAAAATTTGCAGCCTGGCCATGTGGTAGAGAAGCAGAGAGCATTTTCAGAAGAAAAATCCAGTGGTACTAAGAAGATTAGTACATATGAAAGGGATTATCAAGAGAAGGGGAAAAGGGCCTGAAGGCATTGCTGAAGCCTCTGGAGCCAAACCTTCCATTTCAGGCACAAAGGCCCAGGGAGACAGAATGGTCTTGGGGAAACAGGACCGAGGTGCCTTCCACGGGCTCGCTGCCCAGGACCACCTCGGGATGCTGCTCCCCACTCCAGCACCCAGCTGCTTTGACTGCCCCAGCCATAGCTAAATTGGGCTCAGGTGTAGCTGGATGTGCAGCTTTGGAAGATACAAGCCAGAAACCTTGGCAGGGTCCACATGGTGTTAGGTCTGCAGGCTCACAGAATGCCAGAACCTGGAAGGCTTGAGAGCCTCCATCCCGATTTCAAAGGATGTATGGAAAAGTCTGGGGGCCCAGGAAGAGATGTCACAGGGGCAAGTCACCACAGATAGCCTTCACTAGAGCAATGCCGAGAGGAAACGTGGGGTCAGAGTTGCAGCAGAGAAACCTCATCACCACCATGTCTAGTGGAGCTGTGAGAATGGGACCACCATGCAGACCCCAGACCTGTAGAGCTACCAGAGTGGAACCCAGCCTGGGAGAGCTGAAGCATCACCCGAGACCAGGAAAGCCATAGGAGCAGAGCTGCCAGAGAACTTAGGGACCCAATCCCCGCACCAGCATGCAGAGGACTCTGAACATGGAGTCAAGGTACATGATTTGCCAGCTTTGAGATTTAATGCCTGCCCTGCTGGGTTTCAGACTTGTATGGGACCTGTTACCCCTTTCTTTTGGCCTATTTCTCCCTTTTTGAATGGGAGTGTGTACCCTATGTTTGTCCCACCGTTGTATCTTGGAAGTAGATAACTTGTTTTTAATTCACAGATGGGACTTTGAACTTTGGACTTTGAGTTGAAACAAGTTAAGACTTTGGGGATGAAATAAATGTATTTTCATGTGAAAAGACATGAGTTTTGGGGGGCCAGGGGTGGAATGTAGTGGATTGGATTATGTCCTGCCAAAACTCACTGAAACTTGGGTTGTGTCACCCAAGTTTTATGTATTAGGTCCCCACTGTGAATGTTGAAAAGGTGGAAAATCCTATTATGGTAATTGAAGGGTGGAGCCTTGAAGAGGTGATTGGATTGTAGGACCGTGCAGTAGTGAATGGATTAAAAATGGTGGTCAGGGGTGTGGTTCTGAGGGCTTTAAAAGAAGAGGAGGGTCTGTCTGTTGCTCTGTGCTCCGCCATTTCATAATGTGAGACCCTTCATCAGTGAAGTCACCACCAAGACCCTCACCAGATGTGTTCCCTGGACTTGGGACTTCTCAGCGTCTGAAACTGTAAGCAACAAATTTTGTTTTCTTATAAATCACCCAGTTTCAGGTATTTTGTTATAAGCAACAGAGATGGACTGACACACACGGTCAGTATCTACGTAGGCACCAGACAAGTGTCTGGATGGCTCTGTTGACAGCCATCACTCTGAGCGGGGGCAGTAAGGGGGAAATTTTACTTTTGCTCCACATTTCCCAGAGAGGTAAAGTTCACTTAGTGTAGGGCTTACGTGCAATCATGACTTGGGATAAACTTCACTAAAACAACACTCACTTAGCACTCTTTTCTACACAGAAGTCGCCTCTTGTGCAGAGAGAGGTGAGCTCAGTGCAGGTGCAGTAGGGTTCCACAGGGAGCTCTGCAGCCGGATGATCTTCGGGAGGAATGGAGGCTGTGAATGAATCTCAGTGCTCGGGGGTGCAGATGGCCCTGGTCCTTCACCACCGAGCTGTCACTGTGGTAGTGTGGATCCCAGGCTTCCGCAGTCCGCCCTCTCACTTTGAGCATGGTGACTGGCCCGGGTGAAAAGGGTGCTTCCTGTCATTTTAAAGTCCAGCATTAGCTCTCTCTGCCCTGCTGTTCTGGCCATGTGACACCCTGCATTGCTGTGGAGACACCTCGCCAGTTGTGTTCCCTGGACTGCGGACTTCCCAGCCTCCAAAACTTTGGAGGAGCAGCAGATACACAGCATGGACATCAGCAGCAATGGCTCGGCCTTCATAGGGTGCTGGTGGGCAGCTCAGCCGGAAGCCCTCCTGGTCACTTCATCTTTCATGTCCCTTCCAAGAGCCACAGTGGCTGAAACCCCAACTGTGTTTGCATTTTGGGGCCTGACAAGTTGGTCAGGGCAGCAGCCAAGAAGCGCTGGGGCTGTGTCAAAATCGTTTGCAGCTGGCCCTACAGCAGGGAGCCCACCAGTGGCCTGAGTTTTGTGTGGTTTCACAGCCCCCAGACAGAGGCAGAGGCCCCACCCCGGGTGACCATGGTTGGCCAGTTCAGTGTAAAGGACCCAGCAGGACCCAGCCACGCAGCTGCCACACTCCAGGCCTCTAGTGGTGCCTCCTCAGCCTCTTTAGTCCCTTGAGGCTGTGGGCAATACCTCAAAGCCTCAGGCGTCTTCCCAAAGGGAAGAGGAAGTTGGATTTGCACAAAGAAGAAAGGAAGACGCCCAGCAAACCATCAGCCTGCTCTCACCACCTGCCCTCAAGAAACCCAAATTGCCAGCTCCCACCCATACATCAGCCACGGCCCCAGTCCCTGCCGTAGCACAGAAGGCAGTGCCAGGGAAGCTCTGGGGAGAAGACACCGAGCCCAGGGCACCCTGAGCTGGCCCACGGGAGCTGGGCAAGATCCTTCAGGGTGCGGTGATGGTGCTGAGTGGCTTCCAGAAACCCTTCTGTTCAGAGATCTACATTTACGATGAGAAGCAGAAGTTACTTCCCCACCAGCTCTCTGGGGTGGTGGCCCAGGCCTGAAACACACACACAGATGAGTTTAATAAAGATGACTTGGTTTGGAAAAAATAAGTCCAACATTAGGCTCACACTGGGAGATCAGCTTTTCTTTACACTACCATTCAAAACCTACACACTTCATGTTCCCCCAGGCATTTCTTCTGGTGGGCCCATGATTTAGATCCCGAGGCCACAGAGGCAAACATCACGGTGAACCGTGAGGGCTAGACGTGCGCTCAGTGAGGCAGCTGTCCTCCCGCCCTGCCCTGGCTCAGTCAACTCCATAAGCACACACTTCCTGTGAAGTGTCCCTGTAGTCTGAGAGGACAGCATAGTCCACGAACGCCCTGGACGGCAGCTGCGTAGTTTAGGACGCACCATAACTAAAATGATCCCCAAGTGTCTTCACTCACCTGGCATTACACACACTTCCCAAAAGAAGTGTCAGACCACTGCCACTCACAGAGCTGGGCCTGCAGGGGACGCGCAGGCCTCCTCCTAGTGCCATGGAGTCCTTCATCTCTTGGCAAGGTTGCCAGTGGTTGCCATGTGGCCCTCTGTTCCTGGAGCTCTCGGCCACATCTGCCACCCTCCTTCCTGGTGGATCTTAGATCAGGTCACAGGCCAGACAAGCAAGTGTCCCCTGGGGACAGGGGTGGAAGGCCAGGTCATGGGCACAGCCCTGTCACACCTGCTGGCCCCACTGGTACACCTATTCTGGCTGCAAAGCAGCCTCACACATCTGGCCCTTATCAATGCAGACAGAAACGGAGGCTGCTTCCCAGGCTGACGGGGAAGCGGCGGCTGCTGGTCAGGCTCACCAGCCCCGAGGAAGCAAAGACAGTGGGAGACCCTTCTGTCACTCTGTCCCCAGGAAGGTGGTGCCAGTGGCAAGCAGGCTGGAAGGGCAAGATGCAGACCACTCCATTGCCTTCTTGTGCCTGCACGTTGCACCTTTACCACCATTCTCCACCCAGAGCTGTCTAAGGGCAGAATTTCCTCAAGCAACTGTGTGATGCAGGAAGGGATGTCTAAATATTGACAAATATATAACAACCTTAAATCAGTTGCATATCACTGTGTTCCTCAACTGTCTGCCCGTTACCTCTCCCAGAAAGAAATGCCGAGAAAGGAGAAAACTGTCTCCACTCAGAGCCCTGCTGAGCAGGGCTGAGAAGCTATAGACTGGGGCTAATGCTGCCACTGTGACCTAGCCAGCCAGCCCAGATCAGCTGACACTGGCCATCAAATGGAACGAGCACGCTTCCAAATTCTGCAGTGTTCATATTTCATTCCTCACAGGTGCATCGTGAAGGAGTAAACACCCGGAACAGGTGACCCCAGACACAGCCAGCTGCTTCCTGCAGGACACTCAAAACTCAAGTCTGTGTTATCTCCAGCACCTACTGCCCAAAGACACAAGCAGCTCTGCTCCGTGACAGGTCCTGCCCCCCTACACACAATCCACCCACTGGACGGGAACAAACCAGACACCTGCCCAACAGCCCCAAGATGGAAGAAAAGCATGTGCACTTTCACAAAAGTCTGGATCATGTAAGGAAAAGAAAAGCCCCACGAATGTCCCACTGGGTAGATTTCCATTTATCCTGGAAGGCCCAGGTGGCTTCACTGGTCATGGTGGGATGCGTGGAGCTGCCGGGCCTCGCCCTGCAGGACTAATGCCCTTCTCTCGTAGGGTGTGTGGGCCAAGACTGACCTGGAGAAGCTTCTGCTGTGGACCGAAGCGTGTCCCCCTAAAGTTCACGTTGAAGCTCTAAACCCAGTGTGATGGTATCAGCGGTTGGGCCTTTGGGGTGATTAGGTTTAAATGAGGTCATGAGCGTCGACCCCTTGATGAGATCAGTGCCCTTACGAGGAAAGGAAGAGACACCAGAGGATCCCCCTTCCGCCCCCACGACACCCTCTGTAACCCAGGGAGAAACAGACCATGCTGGCACTTTGATCTGACTTCCAGCCTCCAGAACTGTGAGAAATAAATTTCTATTGTTTGCAATGCCCAGTCTATGGGATTTTGTTATGCAGCCAGTGCGGACTTAACGCAGTATTGTAACTTCATGGTTTAATGGATGATTTGAACAATCTTCGTATGTATTAATGAACTTAAAAATATCCTGTAAATAAGAAAAAATTATGGAAATTTTCAAACACACCCACTTCCTAGCTTCAACAACTATCCACATTTTGTCATCCGTTTTGTCTTTTATTAGAATTTTAAAGCAAATCATGGACACCATGTCATTTCCCCATAAATATCAGAATGCATCTTGATTAGGACTTCTTAAAACATAACCACTTCATCCTCTCGTCAAATTCTTCAATACCACCCAATACCCAGCCCATGTTCAGATTTCCATGACTGTCTCAAAAATGACTTCTTACAGTTGGTTTTGCTCAAGTCAGGGTCATGTGCAGCCCCTCGGGCTTTTCTCAATGCCACTGACTACTGGTGGCATGTCCCTGTCTGACCTGGCCAGGTACTTCCTTTTGGTGGGTTCCTCTACTTCCCCCTATTTCCTGTAAACCCATTCTCATTCCATCGTCCCATGTGCGTGTTAGCTGGAATTCTTAAATAAAACAAAACAAACGCAACATTCCTCACCAAATGCTTGGATGACCTGAACTGGGCAGCACAAGTGCTCGGTCCCTTCATCCACTCTCGCAGTAAGGGCCTCCGCCCTCCCAGCTCCATGTGGCAGGGCAGGCAGAGACACCCTATGTATAGGACACAGAGGTCGCCCCTTCCCCCAACACCCCCTGTGGTGAACATGGCTGCCTCCCACTGCTGCGAGACCCAATGTGATTCAACAATTCAAGGGTGTGACCAGCTCCCAAGCTCTGACCGATGGAGCCAGGCGATGGCAGGGGATGCGGGGAGCTCGAGGACTGGGAAAGCTTCTTCCCGGGCTGGTTTTCTGGGCTAAAGAGCAACTGCTCACCGCAGCTCTTCCCGATACTCCAGCAGAGGTGCAGACCACCCATCGGGCACCTCTACACTTCCCCGCGCCCGTGAGTTCTCTGATGCCGCGTGAAGAAGCCGAGGTGGCGGAAGCCTTTCCCACAGCGGTCGCACTCGTAGAACCTCTTTGTTAGGTGCAGCCTCTGGTGGATGCTGAAGCCCTTGGGCCACCGGAAGGCCTTCCCGCATTCGGCGCAGGTATAGGGCTTCTCCCCGCTGTGAATCCGCTGGTGGTGGCTGAGGTTCTCCTTGGTCCGGAAGGCCTTGCCACAGTCGGCACAGTAGAAAGGCCTCTCCCCGGTGTGCACCAGCTGGTGTCGCAGAAGGTTCGACTTCTGTTTGAAGGCTTTCCCGCAGTCGCCACACGAGTAGGGCTTGTGTTCGGTGTGGACTTTGCGGTGCTGTGCGAGGCGGTCTTTCAGGCTGAAGGCCTGTCCACACACCTCACAGCGGAAGGGCTTCTCGCTCGTGTGATTCCTCTGGTGGCGCAGAAGGTTTGAAACCCACCTGAAGGCCTGGCCGCATTCAAAGCACTCGAAGGACTTGGTCCCCGTGTGCACCGTCTGGTGGGCAGCGAGCCGGCTGTGGCAGCTCAGCACCTTCCCGCACGTGCCACAGATGAACGAGTGCCCTTCAGCATGGCACTTCCGGTGCTCTTGGAGGCCCAGCCGGTGCCCACAGTCCTCCCCACACACCTTGCACTGGAAAGCCACGGGCTTAAAGGCTTTCCGTTCTGAAGTGGCTCTAGGAAGCCGCACGCTGTCTGAGTTCAAAGCAAAGCTCTTCCTAAAGCCGACTCCTTCTTTGGCTCTTTCTAGCATGTGAACTTTCTCCTGAGCCCAGGTTGGCTGATCACAGTGTGTCTTGTGGTCAACGGATTTCCTTGCCCCTGTGGAGGAAAACAGACACACGTGCACAGGGTTAGCGGCCACAGACAGGCCAGTCATGCAGCATCAATGCACAAAGCATGAAGAATGCTGTGTGGACAGCGGGTCGGGGCCAAGCAAGCCAGCCCAGACAGCCTTGCACTCACCTGGGCAGGGACCCCTCTGCACCTCCTGAAACTCAGGTCTCTCCCAGTCCTCAATCCATGGCTCATCCCACTGTTCCAGGCGAAAGACAAGGTCTGGTCTGGGGCCACGGAATCCTTCTCAAAAGAGAAAACATGCAGTTTCATTTGTACAGAGGACAGAGTGAAGGCTGGAGCTCAACCAGCTCTGGGTCAGCACAAGGCAAACAGAGAGGCCAGGCCAGCCCTCGGGGTCCCCTGGAACAGAGACGACAGGAAGGAAGATGGGGCTGTCTTCAGGGGAGCCCCAGAGGAACGCCCTTGACCAAACTCAGCATGGGGTGGGCCCCTCCACCCACACAGGCCACAAACTTCCAGCTCCTGAGTCCCCTCAGCTCGGGCTAAAGGCCCAGACACTACTGTGGACCAGACAGTCTCCAGAGGCTGACAGCACAGCCCTTACCCAGCACGGCCAGGCTCCCGAAGTTGTCCAGCATCACGTCCCTGTAGAGGGCCCTCTGGCCAGGGTCCAGACATTCCCACTCTTCCCTTGAGAAGTATATAGCCACGTCCTCAAAGGTCACTGTCTCCTGCCACACAGACAGCTCCAGAGCTGGCCGCTCCTGCACAAGTGAGAGAAGGCTAAGACCCGTGTGACTGGGTAGGAGGGAAAGAAGCCCACAGCTAAGGCACGGGGGAGGCACCTGGTATGGACCGAACATCTGTGTCCCCCACATTCACATGCAGAAGCCCTGACCCCCAGTATGGCTGTATTTGGAGATCGGGCCTCTAAGGAAGCAATCAAGGTTAGATAAGGTCGTAAGGTTGGGGCCCTGATCCAATACGACTGGTGTCACTATAAGAGACACAGAAGAGCTCCCAGCCCTCTCCCCACACATGCATGAGGACACAGTGCAAAGGTGGCCGTCTACAAGCAAGGAAGCAGGGCCCCCAGCACCTCGATCGTGGACTTTCAGCCTTCACAGCTGAGACAATAAATGCCTGTTGTTAGCCACCCGGTCTATGGCATTCTGTTACAGCAGCTCTCATGCACTGATAGCATCTGAGAAAATCAAGTGATTTTCCAAGTCTTCTATGACATCTACTATGCTCTGAATGTAAACAAATCAAGTTTTCTTTTCTTTTTTCCTTCCCCATAAAAGAGAGATCACAAAAGAATAGGCACAGGCACAAAGCCTCAGGAGCTACAACTGCAGACCCTTCCCCGTGTGTGGGCAGGGGCCCTGGCAGCCTGCAGGGCAGAGAGAAGGCCATACTCAGCAACGGGCTCACCTGGGACTCATCCATGGAAACAGCAGTGGCAGCCCCCTCTGGGGAAATGCAGGTGCCAAGAAGCAGCTGATCTTGGGAGACAAAGAAGGGTGAGGGGTGAATGGGAGCAGTTGGCCTGGGAGTGCCCATCTGACCCCAAGAGCCCCCAAACTACTCAGGAAACTGACGGGAATCTGGGAAACACCAGGGAGGACCTTGCACGCAGGGTCTGCTCTGTAAGCTACTGAAACCCACCAGACATATCGCTCCCTTCCTCTACCGTATGATGCAGGTGATGCCTTCCCCTGCATTATGAGGCAACAAGAAGGCCCTGGGCAGGTGTGGCCTCTCAGCCTCCAAACTATAATATATTTCTGTTCTTTATAAATTACCCAGTCTCAGGTATCCTGTTACAGCAGCACAAATGGATTGAGACAGGTTCCGCCCCAGGAGCCAGGCCCAGAATGGCCAATTCCCATAAAGCTGCACATATGAAATGTTCTCAGGTGCCTTCCCACAGCAAGACCTTTCCCCACGTCAGTCTTCCTCCAAGTCAAAAATGGCACAGCTCCAGGAAATCCCATTAACCTTTGCTGAGTTTCGGTAATGAGCCACAGCTCCCCTAAGCTGCACAGCTGGGGTTGGCTGAGATCCAGCCTCTGCCCCCGGCCCATTGAGAATCACCCTCCTCTAAATCCCGAAGCTCTCCTGCTACAGAGGGTGTCTATTCTTTCCCGAGTAAAGCTCCTAAGATGCCTGAGAAAGACCCACCAGCTGTAGGCGGATGGTCCCTGCCTAGTTACCGACATGAGAGCATGAAGAAAGGAGAGCTCACTACAGATCCTACAGATGTTAAAAGTATCACAGAAGCCCATCATGAGCAACTTTATGCCAACAAGTTCAGCAACTTAGATGAAATGGACAAATTTCCTGAAAAACTCAATATCATGAAGCTGAAAAAAAAGAAAAGCCACACAGCCTATATCTGTTAAGTTAATTAAAACTGTAACTAAAAACCTTCCAACAGGAAAATATCAGACCCAGCTGGCTTCACTGGTGAACTCTACCAATCCCTTAAATAAGAACAGTACTTAATCATAGAAGCCTTCACAGAAAACAGTGAAGAGCAAAGTCTTTCCAATTTGTTTTAATAGGCAGCAAAACCTGGTAAAGACATCACAAGAATAGAAAATTATCAGCCAATCTCTCTCACAAACACAGCCACAGAAATTCCTAACAAAATACTAGGAAGCCAAATCCAGCAATTTATAAGAATTCTATGTCATGACCAAGTGGATTTATCCCAAGCCCACAAAATTGATTTGATCCTCATTATTAATGCTGGAGCTGCGAGGTCAGGAGGTGCCAGCGCGGTGCACAGGTCCGGCCCTCCCACACAGCCGCGTACTGTCTCCCTTCACCTCCACCCACCTCCTCTGACACTCACTGGAAGTTATGTCTAACTGCTAAAGGTTTTCATAAAGATGTTTTCCAATTTGAATTTTTTTTCACCTTTTCAAGAGCATGGCATCAACTTTAATCACAATGACTTCCCTAACTTTTCCTAAGTCATTTGAAAATGAATCAACATAATTAACCCCATTAACAGAATAAAGGAAAAAACATATAAAACTATGTGATGGTCTCAACAGATGCAGAAAAGAGGCTGCCCATTAGCTCAGTTGGTTAGAGCATGGCCCTGTAACAACAAGGTCAAGGGTTTGGGTCCCTGTACTGGCCAGCCACCAAAAAACAAACAAAACAAATAGATGCAGAAAAGGCATGTGTTAAAATTCAACACCCAATCCCAATAAAAACTCTCAGCAAACAGGGACAGAACTTCCTCAACAAACGTGCAGCCAGCATCCTACTTAGTGGTCCAGTACTGTACTGAACTCTCCCCCCCGGAACAGGGCCAGTGCCAGGAGGCAAAGAAATCGAGCCATGAAGATGAGAAAGAAGTAAAACGGTCACTATCCAAGGATGACACAATGTGCTTGCATTGGTCCGTTTTCTGTAGCTTATAACAATACCTGAAACTGGGTAATTTATAAGAAAACTAAATTTATTTCTTACAGGTTGTTTTTTTTTTTTTTTAAGATGACTGGTAAGGGGATCTCAACCCTTGACTTAGTGTTGTCAGCACCACGCTCAGCCAGTGAGCAAACTGGCCATCTCTATATGGGATCCAAACCCGTGGCCTTGGTGTTATCAGCACCTCACTCTCCCGAGTGAGCCACGGGCCGGCCCGATTTCTTACAGTTTTGAAGGCTGGGAAGTCAATGGTCACAGGGACGCATATGGGGAGGGCATTCTCGGTGGGAATTCTCTAGAGTCCCTTGGCAGTGCGGGGTATCACATGGCGAGGACAGCATGAGCGAGAGAGCTAACGTGCTCACTGGCCCTCCTGATAAAGCCATCAGCACCACTTCCTGATAATCCACTAAACCACTGACTCCATGAATGGATTAATCTATTCACTAGGGCACAGTCCTCATGATCCAATCACCTCTTAAGGCCTCACCTTTCAAATACCAAAATCGGATTTCACACCCTCTTAACACTGTACAATGGGGATAAAGTTTCCCACACATGAACTTTTGAGGGACTCAATTCACAGCAATGCTGGTAGGAAAATCCTAAGGAATCCCCAAAGAAACAAAAACTAGAGCTAATAAGTGAAGTAAGGTCACAGATTATAAAAATCAACTATATCTCTACTAGAAATGAATAATGGGAAAATGAAATAACGTTAAAAGTAACACTTAAAATAACATCAAAAAATCAAATATTGGGCTGGCTGGGTTAGGTCACTTGGGAGAGTGTGTGCTGTTAAGACCAAGGTCAGGGGTTCAGATCCCCCTACCAGCCAGGTGCCAAAAAAAAAGAAATCAAATACCTAGGAATACATTTAAAAGATATGCAGGTACTCTACTCTCAAAGCTATCTGTAAAAACACTGCTGAGCAAAACTGAAGACGAAAATAAATTGAGAGATGTGCATGTTTTGTGGACACTAAGTTTTCAGTTCTCCCTAAACCGATCTACAGATTCAACACAACTCCAAGCAAAATCACAGCAAGCTTTTTGTAGAAATGAATAGGCTGATTATAAAACTTACATGGAAATGCAAAGAACCTCGAATAACCAGTCTTGAAGAACAAAGTTGGAAGATGTACACTACCTGATTCTAAGACTACCTGTGAAGCCACAATAATTAAGACAGTACAGTACTGGCATAAAGACAGACACACATGAAGGGAACAGACCCACATACACAGTCAAGTGTCTTGTGACAGAGGCACCAATGCAAATCAAAGGGTAAAGGAATGTTTCTTAGGGCCGGCCCGTGGCTCACTTGGGAGAGCGTGGTGCTGACACCACCAACTCAAGGGTTAAGATCCCCTTACCAGTCATTTTTCAAAAAAAGAAAAAAATGTTTCTTTTTCAATTAATGGTGCCGAAACAACAGGGGAAAAATTAACCTTGAGCCCTGTCCTCACACCATACCCAAATGTAAAAGCCGAAACTAAAAGTTTCTAGAAGAAAACCACCAGACAACAGCTTCATACCCTGGGCTAGGCAAAGATTTCTTTCAAGGGACCCAAAGCACTAACCTTAAACAGAATTATAAATTGGGCTTCATCAAAAGACAGCTAAGAAAGTGCAGAGCCGCAGACAGTGTCCTCAGTCCCTGTGCCGTGGCTGACACGGGGCTCGCATCCGGAGTCGCCGCACGAGCAACAGCGACAATGGAGCTGATCACCGGCCAAGCGTCTGGCCCGACGCCCCGCCAGCGGAGTGAGCGGTCCGCAGACACGCGGGAGGCCGCGGGGCCGGGTGAGGCGCGCGGCGTCCCGGACGGAAGGCCGCGCTCGGGTCA